AGTTGTAGATCTCACTCAGGGTCTTGGGCAAGGCACTCTACTAGTGGGGTCATCCTAAACACATACCTATTATTTTTGTAACTTATTTGTTTATTTTTATAATTTATTTGTTTGTTTGTTGAGTCACTTGTTGTGTGCATGTATGCCATGCCATGCATATGCTCATCAAAAGACAGCCCTAAGGAAACACTTCTCTCCTTCCAGCACGTGTATTCTAGGGATGAAACTCAAGTCACTAGGCTTGGCACCAAGCACCTTTACCCACTGAGCCATCTTGCTGGCTTAAGTCCCTTAAGGTTTTTTTGAGTCAGGGTCTTGCTATTTAACTTAGGCTGGTTTAGACTCTGTATGGCTCAAGTCAACTTGAAACTCTCCATTTTCCTGCCTGAGATGCCTGCATCCTGGGGTCACAGCTCTGTACTATTATGCTGGCACTTCAGGGTTTTTCAAAGAAACTATCTGCGTCACATTTGGTGGAGCACAGGGGAGGGCTAAAGCAAAGGAAGGAATGTTGGGTTTCCTGTTATGTGCTAAACTTTATCCTAACTCATATACTTTCTTTTAAAATAAAACATCTTTGTAATTCTGCTCTGGGTCTCTTTGCCTCCCAAGCCTTCACACCCTACTTATATATGAAAAGCAGCAAGTGCTAGAGGAACTCACTCAGGCCTGTGTGTAGAAAGAGAGCTTTAAGAAATGCTATAACCCCCCCCCCCAACACACACATACACTACCTCTCTGGCTATGACTGCCTTAAAATTCTAAATATGCGGTGTTGGAAAGATGGTTTAAAGCACGTGCTGTTCTTGCAGAGGACCTGAGTTCAATTCCCATCACCCATATGATAGCTCACAACCATCTGTAACTCCATGCATACAGGCAAAACACTCATACACATAAAAGAAAACAAATCAATCTTTTAAATTTTCTAAATATTTTTTGTGAGTGTATGCTTTTGTTGTTCTTCACTGCAGCTGTTTGACTCAAATTTTGATGTCTGGTGGTAGAACAGATCTGTTATAATCCTAGCATTGGGGAAGTTGAAACAGGCAGAGAGCTATAACTTCAAGTCTAGCCTGAAGTACATACAAAGACTCTATCCCCAAAACAAAAAACAAAACCAAACAAAACACTCTTATAAATATTTCAAGTCTTTTGTTTTGTTTTCTGTGTGTGTTATATTTGCATACACTCGCGCATGTGTGTGCATGCCTGTGGAGGCCTAGGGTTGACATCTGCAGCCTTCCTTGATAGCTCTCCACTTTATATTGAGGCAGCGTCTCTTGCTGAACCTGAAGCTCGCCATTTCAGCTAGTCTGGCCAGTCACCTTGCTCTGAGGATTCCTGCCTCCACCTTCTATGCTGGGATTACAGGAGGGCAGCCATCCCCGCCAGCCTTTTCCATAGGGCCTGGGCAGTTGAACTCACTGAATCATCACTCTAGCTCAAGCCTTACTTTTGAAACCATTGCATAAACTAACAAGACTAATGAATTTTGATTTGACACCAAATGTCTTCATCCGCCCATTCCATCTAAATGGTAAAACTCAGTATTTCTGGGGACTGTCTATTTAATCATGGATTATTTGGTTAAGGTTCCCCAGGGTTTTTCCTCTTGCCCCAGATTCTTCAAGATTATCAAACCTTGGACTCAGAATCCACCTCACTAACTAGAGATCTGTGTCCACCAAGGAGTTCTGTAATATGTGTTCTTCTAAGTGTGTATTTGTCAAGAAAACAATCAAACGTCGCCATCTTACATGTCACTTTAAGTCACAAAATAACTTTAGCCCACTGTCCTCCTTAGAGAGGCCCAGCACCAAGCATGGATTCAAATGGCTCAGAGGAGGTCAGCTTCTACCTAGGGCACCTTCACTCAAGGTTTTTTAGGGGACACTCAGCTTGGAATGTGGTTTGTCTTTGAAGGCAATTTCTTTCTAAGAATCAGAATAAGTCATAACAAATAAATAAAATAAATGAAGAATTTGTGGGAATGAAACTTACTAAATATTTTGATGAACGAATCCATGCCTATTGGCTAAAGTGACGATTATGTTGTTCACTGAAATAAATACTAAGTTTCAAATGACACACAGACATCAGGCATGTGGCCTGCTTGGCTTTTGTTGAGTGGCTCCTTAGCTAGCCACTGCCCAAGCACTGCTTGTATCAGGTGGCCACTGTTTCATTCTTTTGCATCTGAAGGTACTTTTCTCTTTTAAAAAAGCCTCCTTTACTTAATCACTTTTCTTTCTTCTTTTAAACTCATATAATAATTGAAGCCAAAGAGACTATCATGCCTAAGAGGGTAGATTTTATTACCCTATTTTAAAAAAGCCTTCTTCACTGGCTGCTCTCTAATACAACTTAAATTGTTAAATCAACAGGAAGTAGTAAATTTATTTTCCCTGAAAATATATTTTTAGATCCAGAAGATAGAGAAATTAAGTCAGAAGGACAATTGGTTTTTTGGAAAAAAAGCTGTAAAGATTAACAAGTAAAGATGCTTCTCACCACTTATAAAGAATTAAATCTAAATAAAGCATTAAAGAAAGTGTTCAAATGGCTTCGTTGTAATTTTATTTACTTTTTGTATTATTTATTTACTATTTCTACAGTATTCTGCCTGCATGTGTGCCTGCATGCATAATGAGATCAGAAGGCACCAGATCTCATTATAGATGGTTATGAGCCACCATGTGGTTGGTAGAAATTGAACTCAGGGCCTTTGGAAGAACAGCCAGTGCTTTTAACCTCTGAGCCATCTCTCCAGCCTTTCTGTTGTAATTTTAAAGATCAATGTGTGGGCCTGAGGTGTCTCAGTGGTTAAAAGCACTTGTTGTTCTCTTTTTATTTTTAAGATTTATTTATTATACAATGTACTGTCTGCACGTACACCTGCATGCCAGAAGAAAGCAACAGTTATCTTTATAGATGGTTATGAGCCATCATGTGGTTTCTGGGAATTTAACTCAGGACCTTGGGAAGAATATCCAGTGCTTTTAACCTCTGAGCTATCTCTTCAGCCCCCCACTTATTCTTAAACAGGACTGGGGTTCAGTTCCCAGCACCCACATGGTGGCGCACAAACTGCAACTCCAGTACCATGTGACTTGATGCCCTCTTTTGGCCTCCACGGGCACCAGGCAGGCAAACCATTCACACACACAGACTAAAATGAATAAATTTTATAAAAAAGGATCAATGTAACCTTCAGAAAAATATTAAATTTACCAATACAAATGTCCATCAACTTATCTTATTGGTGAACAGGGTTGTATATTGGTATAATGTTCTTTTGGAATGTAAACAATTTATCCTTGTTTATTCAAATGCTGATTTCTCTACCGCACTATCTGCATTCAATCCTGACATTGCATTGTGATGCTTATTCTAAGCATCACCTATCTCAAGTTTGTGTAAACATGCCACCATTTGTTCTCTATATTGTCAATTAAACAACCAGCCCCAAAGCTGAGCAATAGAGAGTATAGGGTGGAACATCCTGGTCTGGAGAGGGGAGAGAAAGAAACAAGTGGGAGAGAACAGGGAAGAGAGAGAATCCAGAGGAGAGGTCTTGGAACCATGTGGAAAAATGGACTGGACCTAAGATATAACTAAAAGCAAGTTTAATGGGTGAAATCTAAGTGGTAAGAAACTATGTGGGCTTGGAGGTTTAGGATGGAATAACTATTGCCCAGCACTGTGCTCTAGGTTAATTAAGTAAATCCCAGTCTCTGTGTGATTTGGGTATACAGCTGGTTTAGGACTAACCTCTGCTTAACTAAAAGATATATCAATAATAAATATTAATGCCCACAACACATCTATAATAATGATAAGATAATGAAAAAAGTCTGGAGTCTCAGAGTTATTCTTGTTTTGTTTTACAGCTTATGAGCCAAGCCTTTCCAATAAGTCACTGGGCCTTTGATGGATATATGTAGACCAGGAAAATAAAGATAACTTTGAGAAAAAAAGACAACTGTCCTGAGAGTATCTTTCACTCAGCAGCTTTCTATTTTGACACAGGAAGTATCAAGGGCTATGGCTTCTTTCTAAAGAAAGTTCTAGAGATTGTTAAAGATCACCCCTGCTTTGTTATTGGCCCCCTCCAAACCCTGATTTTAACACAAGCTGGGCAGTGAAAGAGGTCTGAAAGAGAGGGCATGGTATAGCACGTGACAAAAATACTGGGCAGGGACTCAGGGAAGAGTACTGGGTGGATTAAGAAAAAAACTAAGGAAGTATGAAAAAGCTTTATAAAACTCACAACTTTTTATGTTAATTAAAAACATATAATTCAAAGAAGAAAAGGAGCTGGAGTGGAAGTGTCTTGAACGGGTGGACAAGGCTTTCCCCAGAAGATATGGGTAATATATAACACAAAAATCTCAGTGTGAGGAGTAGTAGACCTCACCATGAGTTTGACTAGAAAGGCCCCAGAGACATCCAGAACAGCCCAAGGCAGTGCCACTTTCCCTGAATGCTCACCACATGAGCATATTGCTAAAGACTCAACATACTTTTGTTGCAGGACATTAAGAAATCAACCCGGAACTGACCTCAAAACTTCCTCCTCAGAGGCTATCTTTCCTGGTGTCAGGAAGTGCTTTGTAGGCCATTAGGGGAGAGACTTACAGGTAGACCTTGCTGGCTATAAAATTGACCTTGTACCCACTGGTAGAACAGTGACATGAAGGTTATAGGGTAACCAACTGCTTTCTGATTGGATTTGGGGCCTGCTCTACAGGAGGGAATAAATCTCCTTTGCCTGCTTTTCACTACTGTTTAATTCACCTGTTGGAGAAAGGTGGCCCAGTCAGTTTGTCAGAGCTGCCAGGACCCAGGTTCTCAACCTAACAACCCAGATAACAAGCCTGAGGTATCCACTGAGCTGTGCCTGTCTCCCTAGAAGATACTCCACAAACTCTGGGACTTGAGAGGGGTGAATTTGTTCTACATTGTCTGTACACATGAGAATATCTCAGAGTTCTTACCATTTCTGGGTTCTCCTCAGTAAGCTTTGCCATCTTCTCCAAGATCATCTTTTTCAGGCAGCTACTCAGGAAAAAAGCCTAAGAAATCCAGAAATAGAGATCACTCTTTGATCCCAGCACTTGGGAGGTAGAGGCAGGAGGCTTTATATGAGTTTGAGGCCCACTTGGTCTATACATTGAACTCCAGGCCAGCCAAGGCTCCGTAATTAGATCCTGTCTCAAACAAACAAACAAAATCCAGGACCTGGAGAGATGATTCAGCAGTTAAGAGCACTGGCTGGTCTTCTGGAGGACTCAGGTCTGATTCTCAACACAAGCATGGTAGCTAACAATTGCTTATAACTCTAATTCCAGGGGATCTGATGCCCTCTTTTGGCCTCCTCGCACCCTGACTGCACATGTTACACAGACATAGATGCAAATGAAACATCCATTGACATCAAAAAATAGTGAAAATAAATAAATCAGCCAGGCGTAGTAGAGAATGCCCTTACTCCCACCACTCAGGGAGGAAGAGGCAGGCTAGTCAACACAGAGTAACCCTGTCTTAACTCCCCCTAAATAAAAATAACTAAATAAACAAATAAACTTTTAAAACAACAAAATCCTCTTCAGCTCAAAAGGTCCTTGTTCTCCTTCTCTCATTGCATGATGGAGGTTAAAACTCACCAGCACATTTTAAAATAATTTTGTCTTTAACTTTCATAAATTTATTTAAAATGCAATTAGGAAGCAAACATAAGTTTTCTCAATTATACTGATGTAGTGAGAGTATATATTAAGACAGACGAATAAAATGGCCTGACTCTCATTCCTAACCATTTCTCTTCTTTTTTTTTTTTTTGTTTGTTTGTTTGGTTGGTTGTGTTTTTTTTTTGTTTGTTTGTTTTGTTTTTGAGACGATTTCTCTGTGTAGCCTTGGCTATCCTGGACTCACTCTCTGTAGACTAGGCTGGCCTCGAACTCACTGAGATCCACCTGCCCCTGCCTCCCAAGTGCTGGGATTATAGGCGTGTGGCACCACACCCAGCTCTACCATTTCCTTTCTTAACACCCCATTCTGGTCCATGTTTTTATTATGCAGTGAGCAGCTTGTGTTTCATAAGCAATAAACAACAAACTACTTACAATAGTCATCAAATGAATAAATCTTCTATTTAATAGTGTAATAATTATTGAGAGACACATCATTAGGCAAAAGTATTAACTTTTCTTATTAACTTGTTTATTTGAAAGAAGACATTAAACCTTTTGCTTTAGGGGGTGAGAGAGTTCCGTCTGTGTAGCCCTAGTTGTCCTGATACTCTGCAAACCAGGCTGGCCTTTAACTCAGAGATCTGCCTGCCTCTGCCTCCTGAGTGCATGGCTGGCTTACTGAAATTTTAAAAACTCATTGTCAATCTTCACTTTGTTTTCCCAGGATTTTTAACTCTCACCTGCTGCCACAGCCTCCCCTGTGGTTTAGTCATCAAATGGCAGTGCCTCAATAGGCAGACTGCATATCTTACAGGGGTGCAAGGGATCCTTTTTGCTGTACCCGTATGCCAAATGTAAGGTCCCTTGTGACTCCCCAACACACTCCTTTTCTACATGTCCCTTCTCTTTAGTGTTTGGTTTTTTTTATTTTTTTTTTTTAATCTCAGTTTGGCTCTGTTAAGGTCTGAGGCATCAAAGTCAAAGGCAGCTCTTAGATGTTACTCCTGCCTTGAGGTCAACACTGGTCATTATGCTGGAACAGATGATAGAGAGAAAGAGAAAGAAAAGAAAGGCAACCAGGCTAAGGTGATGGCCAGGGTTCTGCTGTCTCCCATAGAGACAGCAGAATCAGAGGTAATGTGAATGACCTATGACTAATATCTTGCATAAGAACACAAAAAGAATAAAAATTTCCCCAGGGTCAGGAGGAGGAAAGAGAAAAGGTGATTAAGAAAAAGAATAGCATCTGTGATATATACAAGCCTAGTTAGTAATAACTAGTCCCATGCATCTGCATATAGATATAGCCTTTGCAAAAATCAAGGTACCAGTTAAAACAGTAAAACATTGAGCTGATGCAGCTAGCTTGGGTACTTAAATGGTGTTCTTCAAGATATGGACCAATTCCATTGTTTTCGTATGCCATGCATACAAGCATGTAAGCTGGGATCATTATCAACCCAATCAGGTCTGCTACATATAAGAAAAAAAAACCTTTTGTTTAAAAGAACATAGAAAACATTTGCGCTCCAGCCCTTATCTGTATTTGGAAGACAGAGTCACATTCCTGGCTTCTATAAAAAGTAGCCCTTTGGGTATCCAGAAACATGATTCATTCTCCAAAGGAAATACAATCTCACTAGAAATCCTTTTTAAAAATGTTTATTGCACCTCTCCATGGTGGCTTAAACTCATTTGCTGCTGTTTAGATTAAAAGACTATAATAAAATTTAAGGGCACAGCATTCTGAGGAGACTGTGAAGGAAGGGTGGCTTCAGGTCTCTGTCTACCCATCTCCCTAAGGACACTAAGGACATTGAAGGAGATCTATTGTGCTGGCTGGTTGGTCAACTTGACACAAGCTGGAGTCATCAGAGAGGTGGGAACCTCAGTTATGAAAATGCCTCCATAAGATCAGGTTGTACACAAGCCTGTAGAACCTTTCTTTTCTTTTCCTTTCCTTTCCTTTCCTTTCCTTTCCTTTCCTTTCCTTTCCTTTCCTTTCCTTTCCTTTCCTTTCCTTTCCTTTTCTTTCCTTTTTCTTTCCTTTCCTTTCC